CTCCAGTCTGGGCGACAGAGTGAGACTCCAACTCAAAAAAAAAAAAAAAGTTACCAAAAAAAAATCTGATCTCTTTGAAAGAACTTCATGGTGATATCACCTCCACCACCCCATGGTGCCAGGCACCATAGTAGACATTGTACATAATTGGTCTCTCAATTCTCACTCTACACTGTAAGGTAGACATTATCCTCAATTGTTAAGATGAGAAAACTAAACCTCAGAGAACTGAAGCAAATTGCCCAAGGCCACAACAGTTGTCCCTGGCAGAGACCTGAAACCCAGTTCCTGCGGTCCAGTGTTTATTCAAATATATCACACTGCTATAATCATTTTTCCACCAAACTGCTAATTCATAACATTTTCAAGTTGGTTTCTCTTGTGTCAAATTGTAACCTATATACAGCTTAGTTACTGGTGTCTTCAAACTTTTATGCTAGCACTTTTCTCTTTCTTTTTTTTTTTTTTAAAGTAAAGACAGGGCCTCACTCCGTAACCCAGGCTGGAGTACAGTGGTATGATTATAACATATGTAATCCCAAACTGCCAGGCTCAAGTGATCATCTTGCTTCGGCCTCTGGGTAACTAGGACCATGGCACACATCACCACACCCAGCCAATAGCCTTTCTATTTCTCAACCTCCAAAATATACTCTTTTATTTTTTTTTCCTCCAATAAAATACTGTTATAGCGGAACTCTTTCACTCTTTAAACTTGAGTTTTAAGATCGCCTCTTCTGGCCAGGTGCGGTGGCTCAAGCCTGTAATCCCAGCGCTTTGGGAGGCCAAGGGGAGGGGATTACCTGAACCCACGGGTCTGAGAAGAGCCTGGGCAATTTAGTGAGACCTCATCTCTACAATAAGTCAAAAAATTATCCAGACGTGGTAGCACACGCCTGTAGTTTCAGCTACTTGGAAGGCTGAGGCGGAAGAATTGCCTGAGCCTAGCAGGTCGACACTGGAGTGGCCATGAGCATGCCACTGCACTCTAGCCTGGGCGACAACTCAAAAAAAAAAAAAAATCACCTCTTCTAAAAAGACTTCCCTGAACAGCCTCTGCTGACACAGAGGCATCCCCATGGCGTGATGTAGCACTATCTAGAGCCACAGAATATATTGTCTGGATCCTCACTTTGCCATTTTTTAACTATGTGATCTTCAGCAAGTCACAAAACTTCTCAAAAGCATCCATCAGTAAAATAGGAGACTTGGAATTCAAAGATTGTAAACTGTCAGTCTGCTAAAAAATACAGCCTGCAGAAAAGTTTTGTTTGGTCAGCAGCCTTTTTCTTAACCCAATTCAATGCTTTTAGATGAGGAATGTACTCTACTGACTGCCACCCTCTGATTTTACATTGACTGCATCGCCCAGTTCATTTATCTCTAGTCTGGTGCCTGTATACAATTAGGTCTCCAATCACTGAATTAAACAATCTCTAAGATTTTACATGGTAATCATGAAAATTATTTATACCCTCCTTCTTGTTAGTTTTCTTTTCCTTTTTTTGTTTGTTTGTTTTTTGAGTCAGGTTCTCACTCTGCCATCCAGACTGGCTTGCCACAGTCTCAACCTCCTGGGTTCAGGTGATTCTTCTACCTATGCCTCCCAAGTAGCTGGGACTACAGGCACACGCCACCATGTTTGGCTAATTTTTTTGGTTTTGTAGAGTCAAGGTCTCGCTATCTTGCCCAGGCTGATCTCAAACTTCTGGGGTCAAGCAATCCTTCTGCCGCAGTCTCCCAAAGGGCTGGGCTTACTTTTCATATGGTCATTTTCCCCATTTCAAAGTCCAGAATGGGGATTTATAAATTATACAATAACTTCAGAACTGGAAAGAGTCTTAGAGACTATCTAACAAAAGTCAATACTTCTGTAATCATGATATAGATGAAAAGATTAAAGCGAACCTGCTTAAGTTGCTCAGAGCTCCCTAGCATAAGTTAGTGCAGGACAATTCAAATCAGCAAATATTATCAAAATATTTACTCTGTGTAAGATCCTAAGCTGGAGCTACAAGGAGAAACAAGAACTGTGCCTACCTCTCCAAGGATACACAAGTTAGTAAAGGACACAGACAAATATACGTGAAAACACTATATATGGCACACATGCTAACAGGAGGGAGAAATTAATTTCTTTCTGTTTTAGGGAGGTCTGCGAAAACTTCCTGAAGGGATTTTGAAAAATGGATAGGAATTCTGTTATAGACAGAAAGTGAGGAAACAGTAGGAAAAACCTAGAGGCACAGCATATTCAGAAAAAGTAAGTAAATGAGGATGGTTGGGGGTGGAGTGACAGAAGAAAGCAAAGTGTAGGCAAATCCTATGAGTCAGTGCTTCCTATTTTCTTCTTTAGCACACCTCTTCATACCCCTAAGACCCTTTCTTCTTTAGCCCCCTCTTCATACCCCTAAGACCCAAGAACCTAGGACAGAGGAACTAAATATAATGTGCACTCAATAATAACTCTTATCAGTAGAAACATCAATGGCGGTTAGGATTACAGTGAGATTATTAAATGCCATGCACTTCATATGCATCATCTCATCTAATCCTCATTTTAAACAATCTGTTAGATAAGTACTAATATTACTTTCATATCACATGTGGTAACTGAAGCTCAGAAAGAGTAAGTAATCTTTCCAAAATTGCAGTTAGAAAGTGGATTTATACCCAACTTATCTGTTTCCAAAGTCTATGAACTAAACCGAAGTAAATGCTAACAAATGCACCGACCAAAAAATTTGCAATCAGATTATCAGTTTCCAAGTAACAATGGCTGTACTGCAAAAGAAGGACAATGAGAAGAGGGCAGGAAAAGGTTTCTTGCCAGTCCTGACTCAACTGCATTCCCTAACCTTTAAAGAAAACTAATGTCCAAAAGCCACAGAATGGTCTGGAGAGCACACCATAAAGCTTCCAATTTTCCATAACTGAGTGCCCTTGGGCAAGTTATTTTAAGTCTGGGGGCTTCAATTTCCTTGTCTGAAAAATGGGGATAGCCCTCTTGCCCTGCCACCACCGAATAGCGCAGAGGCACGGGTGCGTTCAAGATTCGGCCTGAGCCCGCAGGTTCGAGACCCGCCTGGACAACTTGGCGAGACCTCATCTCCACAATAAATAAATAAATTAGCCGGGCGTGGTAGCGCGCACCTGTACTTCCAGCTACTTGAAAGGCTGAGGCGGAAGGATCGCCGGAGTCCAGCAGGTCGAGGCTGCGGTGGCCGGGAGCGGCCACTGCACTCCAGTCTGGGGGATGGAGTGAGACTCCAACTCAAAAAAAAAAAAAAAAGATTCGGCGTCACCAGTAATCCACTGCGATGGCCGAGGAAGTCATCGCTGATGGAGGTGTAATGGACGTGAACACTGCTTTACAAGAGGTGCTGAGGACCGCCCTCATCCACGACCGCCTAGTGCGTGGAATTCGCGACGCTGCCAAAGCCTTAGACAAGCACCAGGCTCATCTGTGTGCTTGCATCCAACTGTGATGAGCCTATGTACGTCAAGTTGGTGGAGGCCCTTTGGACTAAACACCAAATCAACCTAATTAAGGTTGATGACAACAAAAAACTAGGGGAATGGGTAGGCCTGCGTAAAACTGACAGAGGGAAAACCCCGTAAAGTGGTCGCTTGCAGTTGTGTAGTAATTAAGGACTATAGCAAAGAATCTCAGGCTAAGGATGTCATTGAAGAGTACTTCAAATGCAAGAAATGAACAAATAAAACTTTGGCTCATGCTCTTCAAAAAGAAAAATGGGCATAGCAGTACATACACATGTAATGAAAATGACAAAAATGAGAAAAGAGTGAAAAAAAAGATGTTAGGAGAATCAGAGAATGCATATAAGCGCTTATGTCAAGCACGATGTAAACCATGGTTGTCATCAACACAGTCCCCGCCCACCTAAGCAAGTAACCAGAGAGGTAACTAGAAAAACTGAGCACCCCCATATGGAAATGGGATTCTAACCATGTCCAGAAAGCTCAGAGACTGTTCAGAGCACACCTTTACAACGGCCCTTGAGTAATCCTGACCCCTGCAGGGCTCTGCAATACGGTGGCAGAAAACGGGAAGTGACAAAGCGGAGACTCGACTGTCCTTCGCTTCAGTGGCCCCCGAGCCTGAAGCACAGTGCGGGACCTGCGAGCTCAGACATTGGACTGACGAGTAAAGAGGCCTCGGGCCCCTCTCCAGCTCCGAGACAAGAGGCTTACCCCAAGGTCAGCTTCCCCCGACTCCTCAGGTTCTGTATCCACAACGCACCTGCAACATCAACACAAGCGGTCAGCTCAGACTCCATCTCGACCCCTTTCTGCCGCTTAACCACTAACAAATCCTTACCCCACTGTCCCAGAACTGTCGCCGCCATCTTTCGCCACCCCCCCCCCCCCCACGGAAGCCTCCGAGTTCAAACACCGTCCGGACAATACGCATGCGCAGCGGATCTCCTCCACGTGGCGCTGCCATGGAGACGGCAATCACTCGGCCGGTACGCGGAAAGGGGTCTGGTCAGCCGTGCTCAGCGATGACTGACTTAATGATGGCCGAAAAAAGTCGACCGCTCGCTGTGGCTCACTCTTATAATGCCAGCAACGTCGGAGGCAGAGGTGGGAGGACTGCTTGAGCCCAGGAGCTGGAGAACAGCCTGAGCAACACAGCAAGACCTCGTCTCTACAAAAAAAAAAATCAAAAAGTAGCCCTGGGCGACTGCTCACACCTGTGGTCCCAGCTACTCAGGATGCTAAGGCGGGAGGGATCCCTCTTCTGCACTCCAATCTGGAGACAGAGTGAGACTCTGACACACACACATACACACACACACACACACACACACACAAAACCAGTAGGCTTCCGAAAGTTCACCTGCATCACAGAAAAACTGTGACGCCTTACGCCACAAATGGTCTGAAAAGAGTAGGGGAACAGAGTCCATGAACAAGCCACCTAACCCAGTGGGCTTCGATCTTCTTATCAGAAATAACTATCCCTATGACACAAGCTTGTTGTAAAGATGACCTGAAGCCATGCAAAAGCTCTTTTAAAGATCAAATAGTTCAAATATAATGGATGACATCCTAATCCCTACTAATCTCCTGGTTGACCTCTATCATATATGCCCAGCAGGCATTTCACTAAATCTCATTTATTTCTCACAGCAATCCAGTGGGGGCACAGATTATCATTTTCCTTCTTCAAATGAGGAAGCATATTTAGGATAGGTTAAAGACTCTCAGCTAACAACTACCCAAACCAGTGGTCAATCTAAGGTCGGGTAACTCCAAAATTAGTGATGCTACGTGCATCCAAATATGTCTACCGGGGGTCCCCAAAAAGTGTATACACATTTCGAGCGATGTTAAAAGATGTTTGCTGCAATCAGAAGTGTCTGGACGCTGAGGATAATTGCAGAATTGACTTGTAATTGACTTGTAATTGCAGAAGTCAAACGTAACTTGTATTCATCTTATTGAGTATTAAAAATTTTAATACAGTTTTTTTATACAGTTTTATAATACAGTTTTTAATACAGTTTTTTAATACAGTTTTTTTTAATACAGTTTTTTCCTTTCTTAAAATGCTTAACCCCTCCACAGTAAGGATAGGTATTTCAGGGCTCAGTCTGCTACGTATGCAGGAGTGCCAGATAGCCAACGCAACCAAGCAATGCAGGAGTAGTGCAGAATCTAAGCATCTTTGTATGTTTGAGTTGGAAGGAAAATCCATGACCCCCAAGCCCTGACTAGGGGAGTGAAATGAACCCACAAAGAACAAAGGGAGCTGGTTTTCTCTTGAAGTCAATCTCCTCATGTCTCCTCTTTAATAAATTTCTTTCTCTTTGCCTGACTACGGGCTCACTCTCTCGGCGCTCGCCTTGCAAACATAAACTGGGGGAAAAAATTTTTTTTTTTTGAGTCGGAGTCTCATTCTGCCACCCAGGCTGGAGTGCAGTGGCACGCTGCTCACGGCCACCGCAGCCACGACCTGCTGGGCTCCAGCGATCCTTCCGCCTCAGCCTTCCAAGTAGCTTCCACAGGCACGTGCCACCACATCCGGCTAATTTTTTGATTTATTGTAGAGACGAGGTCTCACCACGTGGCCCAGGCTGCTCTGGAGCCCAAGGACTCAGACAATCCTCTAGACTCCGCCTCCCAAAGTGCTGGGACTACAGGCGTTAGCCACCACGCCCGGCATAAAACCGTAAAAAAATGTTAAGCGCCTGGGCACATAGACCTCCAAAAATATTGGACGAGATAATAGTTGAACAGGTTCAAAGGATAGACGAGCAGTGTGGGCAGGTGGCTCTACCCGTCCAATGCCCTAATTTTGCGCCTTGCCGTGGTACGTGAGAAGGCCTAACCCCGGGCTGAGCTCGGGAAACACCCTCATCTCGCGAGGGGTGGGACCGACATTCTGCCGCGGGCTGGGCTGCGTAGTAAAGCGCGACACACGCGGCTGCACCCCTCCCAGCTCGGCGGCGGCGGAAACGGAGCGCGCGGTGCCGACTGGGCCTCGGCGCGCGCCGTAGCGACCTCTCGAGGAGGCGGGGCGTGGGTGGCCCCGCCCCCTTCCCGGCCAAGGCGTGAAGCTGCGAGCGGTTCCCTGCGTCTGCTTCTCTCAGCCCCGGCGGCCTGCGGTCATGGGGCAGGAGCCACGGACGCTGCCGCCCTCCCCCAACTGGTACTGCGCCCGCTGCAGCGACGCGGTGCCGGGGGGCCTGTTCGGTTTCGCTGCGCGGACCTCCGTCTTCCTCGTCCGCGTGGGCCCGGGCGCGGGCGTCAGCCCCGGGACGCCCCCGTTTCGAGGTACCTCCCCACCTTGAGGCCTGAACTTTCCGCCCTTCCTGCGCTCCCCGGGGGCGCGAGTGGGCGTCCCCTCCACCCCATTTACTACAGATGGGGAAACTGAGGCCCAGGCACCAGAAAGAGTCTGCCCACCGTCACGAGGCTGAGTTGCTTCGGGTCTCCGAGAATGAGCGGTCCCGCCTCCTGGCGCTCGCACGTGGGACCGCGCTCTTGCAGAAAAGTTAGCCCTGCCACTTACCTGCTTTTTCTTTTTAAAAATGGAAATGGGGTCTTGCCGTGTTGTCCAGGCTGTTCTCCAGTTCTTGGCCTCAGGCGATACTCCTGCCTTGGCCTCCCAAGATATTGGGATTACAAGCGTGAGTCACCACGTCTGGCAGGCCCAGCCATTTGTAACATCTATGGCTTCCCACCTCCTCCGGTGCGCTCGGGCTTCCTCGGAGCCTTCCTGGGTTTGGGGACGGCCTACAACTACGGGCTTTAAGCAGAAACCTGCAAGTGTATGGCACTGGTCTCTATAAGATGTGTGGGTTGGGCCAGGTGCTTGCAGGCTCTAAACGAAGCTTTGATTGTGCCTTGGGATATGGCGTACCAGGTATTTAGTCTCTTCTGGCCAGGTCTAAATAAGAATTACTTTCGCATTCTTCATTTGAGCTACTTCTCAGCCTATGAACTAAGCACAGTCAGGTATATCAACATCATTATACAGTTGAGAAGACAGAGACTTGTCTGAAATCACGTGGCAGAGCCGTGCCAGCACTTGGGAGTTCTGGTTGACTCCATGGATGTTTTTGTTATACTATGATTGGTTAAGTAACTCCAGAGCATCTGCTCACTCATCATCCAGCAACAGTGTCTGGATTTTTGGATAGCACTCCGATTAACCTAAGGTCTGGTTTTGCTTGCAGTCATAGGAGAGTTGGTGGGACACACGGAAAGGGTCTCTGGCTTCACATTTTCTCATCACCCTGGTCAGTACCACCTCTGTGCCACCAGCTCTGACGATGGGACTGTGAAAATCTGGGATGTGGAGACAAAGGCAGTTGTGGCGGAACATGCGCTCCATCAGGTACCGTGGCTTACTGGTTTCTCTGACCATTTTTTATCTACCTGTGCTGAGAGTTCTTCTGTTTCTAGTGTAGTTTTGCTAGCTCATCTCTGCAAGGTAGCTGTTAAAATTGTTCATTAATTATAAGAAGCCCTATATTGTAAGCTTTCTCAACTTTTTAAAAAGGAGATGCATACAAGCAAGATGTTGGCAAACCACTCTGCCACCTGTCGTTGCAAATAGCTTTATTAGAGTACAGACACTCATTAATTTAAGCATTGTCTCTGGCTGCTTTCATGCTACAAGAGTTGTGTAGTTGCAACAGGGATGCTGTGGCCCACAAACTCTAAAACATTTACTTTCTGGTTATTTATGATTACTCCTGATAGAAACTGTAAATGAGTGGATGGAACTCACTTCTAAACTAGATGGTTACTTGAGATACCTGCCTTTTGAGAGAACAAGGGAAAGGAAAAGACTCATTTAATCTTTGTAAGAACTTTGCATTGAGCTTTTTTTTTTTTTTTTTTCCCCTGAGTTGGAGTCTCACTCTGTCACCCAGACTGGAGTGCAGTGGCCGCTCCCAGCCACCGCAACCTCCACCTGCTGGGCTCCAGCGATCCTTCCGCCTCAGCCTTCCAAGTAGCTGGAACTACAGGCGCGCACTACCACGCCCGGCTAATTTTTGATTTATTGTAGAGATGAGGTCTCACCAAGTTGCCCGGGCAGGTCTTGAACTCGCGGACTCAGGCAGTCCACTCACCTCGGCCTCCTAAAGTGCTGGGGTTACAGGCTGAGCCACCGAGCCCGGCCTGCATTGAGCTATTAAACGAAGACAGATTTTAAATGTTTCTTCAGCCCATGCTAGCCTAGATTTTCCCATTACTTTGTTAATATAGTGTTGCTGTACAAATAGTACTAACAAATATTTATTAAGTACTTATAATGTACCTAACCTTATGCTGGCTTGTGATATAGGTTAAAAATTAAATAAAAAATTCAGCATTGACAAATGAGAAACAAGTGCATTTTTGTTTTGTTTTAAAGCATACAATATCAGCATTGCATTGGTCTCCTCGAGTAAAGGACTTAATAGTATCTGGTGATGAAAAAGGAGTAGTTTTCTGTTACTGGCTTAATAGAAGTGACAGCCAGCACCTCTTTATTGAACCCAGGACAATTTTCTGTCTTACTTGTTCACCTCATCATGAAGATTTAGTAGCTATTGGGTAAGTGCTATGCCATCTGTGTTGGTGATTTATTTTTGTTTATGATCATATTTTCCATTTGCAAAATCTCCTGTGCTTTTATTTCTTTTTTTTTGAGTTGGGGTCTCACTCTGTCACCCAGGCTGGAGGGCAGTGGCATGCTCCCAGCTGGCCACTGCAACCTCGACCTCAACCTGCTGGGCTCCAGCGATCCTTCCGCCTCAGCCTTCCTAGTAGCCAGAACTACAGATGCACGCTACCATGCCCGACTAACCATCCTTTTATTTCATAAGGAAAATCATCTACTCCCTCTGAACCCTTGGTATCAGTTATTCCTCCAAGTCCTTACTCTCTCTCCCTCCCTCTCTTAGTTTTTGTTTCCTTAGTTTCTGTGATACTGTACTATCCTCATTCCCCTAGTCAACCTCTACCTTTCTCCTTCTGTGTGTCCTTGGATATAACATGAATTCCCAGAATGTCAGCTGACTTTACTCTCATTGGTTCTGAGTGCTCCCTCTAGATTGAGAAAGTGATATGGCATTGAGATCTGTCTCCCCATTGATCTCCAAAGTTGGTGCACATGAACTGCCTGAGTGGGCACCCCCTCTCCTTCACCACTTCAAGGACTTCTCATCCAAAGATGTCCATCGCTCCAGTTTTAAGATATGACATAAGCAATTGTACTAGAATGTTGAAGGGGAAAGTCTGATTGGGGTGTATTTGAGAGACTAGGGGCTAAAGTAATAGAGGTACACACAGACAACTTTTTCATGAGGTTTGTTGTAAAAATGTGCATAAACATGAAGCCAGAGGAGGTAGATGGGGTCAAGGGAATATTAAATGGGAGGTACCAAGGACTTGTGTTTATCCTGATGGGAGTGAGGCTTGAAAAGAGGGAGAGCTTGTTGCGAAAGTAAACTGTGATAAATACAGGAGTGATGTTGAGGGGTCAGGAAAGGATTGAACTCAGATGACAGGTAGGAAAAAAAAAGACAGATGACAGGTAGAAAGGACAGCTGAGAATATGGAAGTAGGTGCAGGTAAGTTTGTAAATTTGAAAGAGGACGGTATTCCATTCTGTGACTTCTGGTTTTCTCAGTGAGACATAAATCAGAGTGGCGGAGCCAAATTCAGAATGGGGTAAGAACTGGTTATAGGAAAAAGGTAGGAAAACGTCCTCTCAGAGAGCAGGAAAATGAATGACAAAGGCCCAGTGTTCACTGTTGAGTGCCGAGCTAAGCATCATAGTCATTAATTTAAAGTTATCTACTTAAACTGATTGAGCAAGGAGATGGTTGGATTCAGCCAGGTTTGGGGCTTTGTGGAGTAAACACCCTTGAGGGAAAAGGAGACACAGAGGGATAATGGTGTTTTTAAAAGTGACTACGGCCGGGTACAGTGGCTCACACCTGTAATCCCAGCACTTTGAGAGGCTGAGGCCAAGGGGATTGCCTGAGTCCTGACATTCAAGACCAGTCTGGGCAACATGGTGAGACCTCGTCTCTACAATAGATCAAAAAATTAGCTAGGTATGGTGTTGCACGTCTGTAGTCCCAGCTCCTTGGAAGACTGAGGCAGAAGGATCACCTGAGCCCAGCAGGTCGGGATTATGGTGACCGTGAGCATGCCACTGCACTCCAGCCTGGGTGACAGAGTGAAACTCTGACTCAGAAAAAAAATGTGACTATGATGATAGATGATTAAATCAGTGCTGCATGGAGGCAGGTGTGGTAAGTGATAGTGAAGGCATAGGGGGTCTCATGAAGTAATAGGAGCAGGATTGCCATGAGGTTACTAGAGAGAATGTGCAGCAAGGTAGTAGGCAGAGGAGGCACTTTGATGATTCCCGGAAAGTTTGATTCAAATTTCCAAACAGCTCAATTTTGTGACTATTAGGCTACATAATTTGATGGTCTTCAAAGATTGTCATGTACTATTCTTTTTTTGGAGTGGAAGGAATAAAACTGTGCTGATGTTTTTCCCTGTAGAATTGTCTTATGTGTAGGAAGTATAAACAGGTACAACCACTTTGGAGAGTACACTTTCTAGTAAAGCAGAGATGTACATATCTTGCATCCTGGCTGCTCTCTTACTAGGCATCAAACCTAAAATTATCTAAGGTGTGTACAAGAACATTAATAGCATTTTTTGTTTGTTGTTGCAAAAAAATGGAAGCCCTTCAAAAAGCAAATAAATAAATGGTGGTGTATTCACACAATGCAATAGTTACTGCATTGTGTGAATACACCACGATTTATTTATTTGCCTTTTCGAAGGACTTCCATACGAAATAGTGTAAGTGACTGTCCAGGAACTGCAGTTACACATATCAACATGGACAACTCACAAACAGAATGAGTGGAAAAAGCAAGCTGCAGAAAAATAGGCTGCACAGTGCTGTTTATATGAAGTTTTGAAATAAACAAAGTAATTCTGTATCTTATTTAGGAATAGATGCAAAAAAAAGGCTAGGTGTGATATAACACAAAATTCACAGGTAGTGATTTACCTCTGGGAAAAGGAAGAGAAGAGTTCTGCGAAGGAGAGAGGTTTGATTGAGGTGGAATATGCAGAGTGCTACTGGTAATTCTTAAGCAGGGTGGTAGATTACTTTTTTTATGTATCTGGAATAATTCATCTTTTTTTTTGAGTTGGAGTCTCACTCTGTCGCCCACACTGGAGTGCAGTGGTCGCTCCTGGCCACCACAGCCTCCACCTGCTGGGCTCCAGTCATCCTTCCGCTCAGTCTTCCAAGTAGCTGGAACTACAGGCGCGCGCTACCATGCCCAGCTAGTTTTTTGATTTATTGTAGAGATGAGGTCTC